TTTAGCTAAGTGACGGCTGAAAAACAAACAGTGAAACCACATCATACTCTTGATGAGCAGGGCAACTCACCTGTCAGGAACAGAAAGTAGTTCTCAGCTGGTCGGATTTCCTAGGGCCTCCAGCTCCCTCGAGACGACTCTGACATGGAGCCAGGGGGGTCCCTGAAAAGGGGAAGAAGGAGGATGTCTTGTGGTTAGATGAGGTTAGAGTGGAACTGGGACAGAAACGTCATTATTCAGCTCAACCTCTGCCCAAGATCATAGAGCAAAACAATTATAAAGTCAAACACATTTATGTTTAAGCTTTGAGGAAAATCCTCCATCAAATGAATAGGAGAGCTCTGTTCTGTATTTGCAGGCAAACACCAGGTTTGGATGATGACAGTGGATTAGTTTATCTTGGTCTTCTCCCCACAAACTACTGAGGCTGGAACTTACAGGCTTAAAGTGGGAGTATATGCAATGGGGGGTTGTGACTTACATGAGAGATAAGGTCAAGGAACAGATTACTCTTTCAGATAATAAGCTTGCATGGTTTTCTGGGGCTGACCTACCACATTCCCGAGATCCTACATATATCCCTAACACAGTTTCCTTTGGTTTAGATTTCATCATCAACCATCTTCAAGCTTTCTTTCAGACAGTGCTTCTCAGAAATCCTCTCTCCTTCCTTCCAGTCGTGTCTGGGGCTCAAGGCCATCCTTGCTGCCTCGACTCTCTGACACAGCGGGAGGTGGAAGCAAAGCAAAGTGTGATCTTGTCATTAGCTGTGACTTAGATTTTTTTATAAGCGACACAATGCATAACAAGTAGCAAGGAATACAACAGTTTGACATCTTGGTGGTTTGCACAGATGTTCAAAACCGTTAAGATAAAAATACTTCTTTTAGACTGTAACTTCCTCTGGCACGATTGTAGAAGTCCTGCAAAGCCTCAGTGCCAGCAGCTGTGACCAAAGCGTTTCCCCCCCGTGGCAGAGGGCACTCCTGGGATGCTCACCGTAAGCGCCGAGGACAGCGATTCCCAACCCCGCTCCCCCCGGGGCGTCCCCCTACCTCCGTCCTCTGTGCCGCTGGTTCCAGCTGTGAGCGCGGCAGAGGTGACGCTTCCAACCTGGAGCATGGGTCTTCCTCCCAAAAACTTGCAATTGCTGATTAAGCCTTTATAAAGCAACCGTTAACAAAGTTATAGAAGGGCTAAATCATGATGCAGAGACAGGAGTAAAATTAACGTTACGTTTGGTATGTTCTGTTTTACAAAAGACCACAAGAGATGCTTAAAGCAACAGTTACTCTTCTGGCAGCTTGTATCCTACCAACAGAGCTCCTGTACCGACCCCGGTAACATCACACCGGTTGGTTATGCAGGAAAGGGAGGTAGAGTCAATCCTAGACTCAGAATGTGTTACACAAGAGTAAAAGGAAGAGACTACTGTGGCTTGACACCCACTTTTGAAAAGCTTGTATTTAGAAGATTAACTATTTGGCTTAAGTGAAGACTCTCATCATGCCATGCAAAACTAAGTAATATAAAAGAAATTGTGTCAAGAGTTTTACAGCAAGATCTAACTTAGTAAGATCAAAAAGACATAACATGAATAAATATAAATGCGCTCTGTCCTGGTAATTTCTGGAAGTTAGATTAATTCATTCTCTAAAATTTGCAGGTGAGCATACGTGTTTCTACTGAACTTGGCTTTTCAGCAATTATTGTAATGAATCTCCTAGCGGTTTTCACAGCGGGACTCTGCAAAAGTGTTTTTCATTTTTTGATAGTAAAAGCCATTTTTCAATCTAAGAGCAAAACCCTAATTCAAGTATCTCTCCAATACACTTCCAGCAATTCTAACTTATCAAGCATTTTATCTCAGCCGTCATCAACAGCTGTCCAGGCTATCAAACTGTAAATTAATAGTTATCCAAAGGCACCGAGTAGTTTTCACCTACCTTGAAATATTACATACTCACAATAGAAATAATACCATTTTCCCCCAGATTTTCCTTGGAGTTCTTTTTATCCAAGCCATTTATAACTGAATATATACCCTCTTCTTTCCTGTCCAAGGAAAAAGTGAGTTCTTTTGATAAGTTAGTTACAAAGCCATATTCTCTGAAATAATGCTCATATTTTTACTGTAATGTCGGTATTTCTTAATAGGAATTCCTGGTTAAGAAAAAATTAAAGATAAAATCTGAATTTCAGCAAAGGTTCTTAATTATCACAGGTCATTTGCCTCCCCACAGAAAGCCACATTACAATTATGGCACACAAATTGCTGTACGGCAGCATCTGTACATCTCTTGAAGCAACGTGACACAGTGGCATTCCCAAAGATGGCAGGATACTTTCAACAGCCTGAATCAGTGCGAAGGCACAGCAGGGTCGTGGGGGAGCAAAGATTTTCTTGACCAAATTTCGAAGCTACTCAGTAAAAATTATGCATGAAAAAATAGTAGGAGGGAGTGTATTCGCTCGTACTTCAGCTCCATGAGCAATGAAGGTCATCTCACTCGAGTGGCTCTTCCCATTTCACTATACGGAGAAGATGACCATCACCCTCACAAGGCAGGATCAAGAGCTAAGCTCGATCCAACCGTTCTGCGCAAGACGAGCGATGAAGAGCCCCTGGGGCAGCAGTGGAAGCGCTTCTCTAGCCTGCTCTTTGGCATCTAGCCTTCTTGCTGATAGGAGTCAATCTCGCACAAAGCAGAGGGTAAAAAAGAACACCGCCTAACAACTCACTGTTCGCATGCTTACCACCGCAGAAAAACGCTGCGAAAGCCAGAAAAAAATCTCCAACTCCTCCTTCGCTCTATGAAAAGCTGACCTTCCCTTCGGGTAGGCCTTACACATCATGTGCTAGAACTTGCACGCCTGAAAGGCAGGACGGATTCTCTTCTGAGTAGTTACTAAATACTGTGGCAGCAAATGTCATCGCCCCTTGTAACATTTAATCCTAGTATACACCACTTCAGCTTGAAGTTTCACGTGAACACAGTAATCAAGTGTCTGCATTAACCTCCCACCCAGTTGTAATTCAATTCTAACAACCCATTGTCCTTAATTTTTGTTAATTTCAATAAAAACAAACCTAAAAGCTAACTTTAAAAACCCACGTCTTAGGTTAACAACAATGCTCTGAAGGCTTTGACAAACTATTTGTCCTGCAGCTTCAGGCTGCACACAGAGCTAACAAAAATAAACATGGGAGCATTGCAGTCAAAACTAACCTGGCAATATTAAAAGAAGTGTTTAAATACTCTAATTTAAAAAAAAAAAAAAGAAAATCTTTTCATTGTGCTATGACCTTTGGATCAAGCCCCAAAACAAATTTTAAAAAGTACAGACAGCTAAGATCTGTAGAGATACAAGCTGCAGGAACCAGTAGAGTAAGTCACTATTATGTTTCAAGCCCCATGTTTCAAGGCAGAGAGAAAAAGCTAAATGCATAATAAAAAAACTGCATATCTATGGGTTTTCCTTATTTTAGCCGCCTGTTCCTAAATTAGGCATGCAATTTCCATGTTTTCTAAACAAACCAGTTCCAGAACACATTATTAAAAACCCTTGTAAATCTCCCACATATCTGAAGCAGCAAATAGTTCTCCCAGTGCAAGTAAAATGGAAGTTAGAAAGATTTCACATAGAAGCTACTAGAAGAAAGTTACTGAATACTGATACTTGAATATATTCCATAGCTCTTCATTCCAGGTAACTCTTCTATAAAAATCAACTCCCAAGGCACCTTTGTCCTGCTACTAACCTCCTTTTCAAAGCACCTGTGCTTCTACTCCATTTATTTGCATCCTTCATTTCTATCTCTTTAAACACTCAGCCCAGTATCGGTGTCCATGGAATTCCTTCTCTGTTTCTTTAAGATACTGAAAATCAAAGTAATTTGAAAAAACATCTTCCTAATTCGAGCTGTCAAAATTTGATGACTATGCTAATTATTTTTTCACATTTAGCCTGAATAGAACTCTGATTATAGATTTTTTAAAAACCTAAGCCTACGGAGCAGTTGTTTTGTTGTCTTGCTAACAGGCTTTTAACCCTTTAACATTCCTAAGTGATTAAAATTTGAATTGCTATTATAGCTATACCTTTTATAACATTTATCAGAAAGGTACAATAAGGGATACAGTATACCTTTTAAAAGTTAACAGGCTTTAACATGAAGCATTTATGCTATTTGCTTGAATATTATTTGGACAATATGTTTGCTTTCCATTTCAGTTTAGAAGGTACTATTTGTGACCGACTTCCAGGCTTTCCTCGGACAGTTTACATACTATACTTACATCCAAAATCATCTCCTTACTAGGATTTAGTTTTGTAACAGTTCTAAGTAAAATTTGGTCAATCTCTTTCCCAGACAGGGCTTTGTCAAGCCGCGTGCCAAGCTCTGCAGCCTGTAAGTTGGATCCAGCTCATCCAGATAGTCTCTCTCACATGACTTAGGTCAAGGTTAGGTAACAAACCATCTGCTTAAGCAAGTCAGCATAACATGGTTTGCAACATTAACTAAACAAGCTATTTCAGGCAAGATACACCAGCTCACAGGCAAACACACCCCCCTGCTTTAATTCCCTTGAAAAGTACAGAAAACCCTCCCTGTACATGAAAGTGGGAGCTAGAAACAAGCCTGTCAGAATTGCCAGTCTGTATCCGTCTTGAAAAATCCCCATATGCATTAATTATCTGAAACACTAAACTGTTCACAAAGGCACAAAAAGGCAAAATAAAACCTTTATCTGCCGAATTCTTTATGAATTTCTGGTCATCATGTATTCCTAAGAACCAAATTCTAATTTATTACAAAAACCAGCAAAATTAACATATTTTAATTTTATAATTAACAAACCTTAATTTATACAAACAATAGATTTTATGTCCTCTCCAACTGAAATGTATTTGTTATCCTTAATAACACTCAGGTTAAATTAGTAACAGCTGAGTTACAAAACAAGAAAGCAACAGAAAGCAACCTTCTGTTATGATTTTTTTTTTTTGCATGTGACCATCAAATATGCTGATCAAGGAACAACTGGATTGCACTTTATTTTAAATATTCATAACATTACAACAGCATATAATCACAGCGCATATTTAAAAATAGAAAAAGTAGACACTAAATTTCTGTTAAGTGAATTCAAAAGTTTTATCATGAAAAACTATATTCTGTATATTCTGAATCTCTCAGTGTGTAGGACTCAAAGATAAAAATATATGCACAGAACATCTTAGTAGCTCCACAAAATAAGGAAGTCACATAATTAAGTAGAGAGATCGTAAACCAGCTGTACTTAAATACAAAGCTATGATACTTTTTTAATTGGAGAATTGAGGGTCAGCCCAGTAAGAAATAGATTATTAAGTATTTTAAGGTGACTCTCACTAGAATAGTTCTTAACTTTAATTTAAATGCTGCAAACTGACAAGAACAAAAATGAAAGATTTCTAATGTTACTTGTGAATTAAAAATAAAATTTAGAAAAAAGCATTTTCATGGAGATAGAGTTTAATCTCTTATGAAAAAATAGACAAACAGAAACACTGCAAAGTATTAGCAGATAAATGAGTTAGGATAATGCACAATGTTAAAAAAACAAGAAAAAAATCAAACAATGAACACGTTTTTGTGTAGGGGGGCAAGTTTAAAATGAGACCACTCCTTCCATGAAGGGCACAAGGTACACAAAATCTCCTTCATTTCTGTTGAGTTCTCTTTTAAGGAATGAAATTAATGTACTTTTATAACCAGAAGGATTTTTGTGAAAAATGGATCGCTAAAATGAGTTTATGGAATCCAATTTATACATCTAAACCAGAAAAAATAAATGAGGAGACAGGAATTATATATCAAAACAGACAAACTTAAAAAGTAGCAGTAGCAAACATAAGGTGAAATATTGCAGCAGCAGGTTTACGCATATTCTCTGAATTATGTCACAACCAAGGTTACAGAAATAAGATAACATTTTCAATCTTACATAACATTTTTGAGAAGCTAAAATCTCAGATATAATATACATGTATATAACAATTTTTAAAATTCACTTATTTACAAATTTTATATAGGGCCTGACCCTTTATACAACTGTATTTGCATAAACTTCAGTTGTACAGAGTCCTACCAAAGTGAAGCAAAGGAATGATCACATAAATAAAGCTTTGCATTACTTAGGCTTTCTCAAATCGGGTTTATGAATTGAAGTTACAGAATATACATATTTGCCTTTTAATATTGTTTTTTACATACAAAAAATTCGCTTAAGGAAAATAACTATTTAAATGTTAAAATGTATGTAGAGTTTGACAGCAGAAAAATCTAAGTACTGCCATATGATTAGATCCTGGAATTAACTGCATTTTTTACATACATTACATGTATTTAAAGCAATAAAGCAAGAAACGTTTGCATTCACAGTGCTGTATATTTCACTAATACATAAAAATTTCCTGTCTTTTCATAATATTTGTACGACACAGAGGGCATTCATTAAGTGCTTCAGCACATTCCTTACAGGCAACTAGGTGACCACAGGGAATGAGGGCGACTGATATGTCTTTAGCCATACAGATTTTACAAAGCTTTTCTTCCTGCAAGCGTCTTAACTTCTCTTCAGTACTGAGATCTAAGGAAAATAAACACATAAGAAGAAGTTAACATACTTAGTACCATTGAATCTCTTTTTTTTTTTTCTTTACACACAAGGACAAGGTTTTCTTCATATCATTTAAAGGTCACACCTTTAAACAGGAAAAAAAAAATTACAAGAGATAGGAAACCAAGCTGCAGCATGGAATCCTCTTTTTTTTTCCCCCCTCTCATCACATTACATCTCCTAGGCCAATGCAAGCAGGGAATTCAGCTATCTATATTTGCAAGAGCTTGAAATATCTACAGAATTTAGGATATGCATATTTCAATCAGGAACCATTCTTTTCACAGACTTCCAATTGACAACTTTCCCAAAACTTGTACAGAAGATGAAAGAAAGGCTCGTTGATACTGGTTAAGTAATTTGGATTTTTTTTTTTTTTTTCAGAGAGTTCCTCAATGAAAAGAATGAGGATGTGATTTCCTTCCCTACCTCCATTTTCAAAATGCCCATACTTCAAAAGCTTAAAAATTTGTAATACAGAAAGAATCAATTTTGCATTGTACGTGAGCTCTTTGTTATTCCAGTATGCCCCATTTGAAAATGCAAACTTCAAAAGCCTTCCCCTGCCACCTGGGGAAAGCTCCATACAGCCAAGCACAAAAATAACGTCCATCTTCATTGCAAGTTCTTTTTCCCCCATAATGTCCATTAAAAATCTTATTAAAATAGTGGGCTGGTAAGATCTCTGCCTATCACACCAACCAGAAGGTCTTTTTCCTCCCTATGAATTCACTCATACACTTGTCTTAAACTACAAGTCTCCCAAGTTAGAAATCTTGGTTTTGGTCTATTTACAGAGTGTACCACAATGGCTTTCTGAGCATAACTTGCATGTCCCAGCATAGCTGGAACACAACTAATTGAAAAGAAACACCATCTAGAAGTACACTTTTTCTTATTGGCCAAGAAGGAAAATAAAATAATCCCCTACAAAGACTTTTTCATTTTGAATATACTGAATATTTGACAGTATGTTGCTGTGTCTATTTCATTTTGCCACCACAGTCACCACATCTATAGTTATTCTTGCTTTTATTTTTAAATATCATTGTCACAATAATTTTGTTTTTTTAGTTTGCATGTATAACCTTTCCCAGAAGAACGCTGGACTATTATTTCAATATTATACACTTCTGAGGTATTAATACTACTTATTTTACAGATGATATTTATAAACACTGCTACGCTCAAGTATTTTAACACCCTCTTTGTTCAGCTTTTTTTTTATGTCCAAAAATAAATCTCTTGACTTTTAAGTTACAATACTGTAACTTCACTTTAGGTAAGACTTGGATCAGAGGGCAGAATAAACAGATAACAATAAGGTATATTTCACAGACTAAAGAGCTGATATGAAAGTACACACAGAGGTTTTGTAATTGAATAAGCTCATCTTGCTCAACTGGGATTTCATTTGGTCCTTCTTCCCTTGTATTTTCTTTTTGAGCACTTATTAAGTCTGCTACCAGATCCTCAACAGATGTGTGACTTTCTCCAGACATCTGCAATCTCTTTTCCATGGTGTTCCTAATCTCAGACAAACTGAAACCCATGTCTATGGCACCTTGTACCAAAGGATTCTGTAAGAGATCATCTAAAACAAGAAATTAAAAAAACAAAAACAAAAAAACAATTTAACAAGGATGAATCTGATTATCGGACAGTATTCACTACAGTACTCTACGACACCTTTGCAAATATCTAGCCAAAGGAAGCATATTTCCAATTTGAGAATTTTGCTAATTGTAACAACCGCATTGTCAAAACACCCAAACCCGCAGATTTGAGATGTCTTCCATCCTAGATTTCTCAGTCTCCCTTCATCTACTTACAATATAGAAATCCTCCCAGATCATAGAATCATAGAATGGTTTGGATTGGAAGGGACCTTAAAGATCACCTAGCTCCAACCCTCCTGCCATGGGCAGGGACACCTTCCACCAGACCAGGTTGCTCAAAGCCCCATCCAACCTGGCCTTGAGCACTTCCAGGGATGGGGCATCCACAACCTCTCTGGGCAACCTGTTCCAGTGCCTCACTGCCCTCACAGGGAAGAATTTCTTCCTTATATCTAATCTACATCTACCCTCTTTCAGTTTGAAACCATTACCCCTTGTGCTATCACTACACTCCTGATCAAAGAGTCCGTCCCCATCTTTCCTGTCAGCCCCCTTTAAGTACTAGAAGGTCGCTATAAGGTCTCCCCGGAGCCTTCTCTTCTCCAGGCTGAACAACCTCATTTTTTTTGCTATTCAAATCAACAACTTCTTAAATAAAATGTCTTATAGAATTAACATCACAAATTCCATAACTGAATGTTAACTGAAATTAATCCAAAATTCCCAGACACAATAGATATGTAAGTATTTGGTAACACTACATTAATTTTAATTCAGTTCAGGGAAGAAAAAAAAAAAAAAATCATGCATATGTTGAGAGAAACCAATAAATAATTTGAATCTACAAAACCAAAACACAGCGCAATCAGCAAGCAAGTAAGCCTATCCACAATAAGACATGACACTACTTTGGGAAACCATTTTTCAGTCTGTTGGACCTCCCCCTTCTCCTTTTCAATGTAATTTTTTTAATAGATTTTTTTAGCAGTGTGTCTTATTTCCAGTTCTTCTATTACATGTAAATGACTAATTTCTTCTTTACTTAGTAAGACTGTTCAAAGAGCAAAATTTTTAGCCTAATTTTCAGTCTCATAAATGAGCAGTGTGTGAGAGATTTCTAAAACAGGTTTTGTGTAACCACTTTTATTAGCAACAGCTATCATTCCCTGGGATGAAGCTGCTTGACAGTCTTCCTACTACCCCTTTAACTATCTTGTCTTTTTATTGCTTGGTATTTGTGAAAAACATTGCAAGAATGTGTAATACTGGAACACATAACAAGCTATTTAAGCTTTCTCAGCTTCCTAGTCCTTGCCATTTAACAGACCAACTCTTCCTGCCTCATGAAAAGCAACAATGATTGTTTCAGTTCAGTATTCTTTAACATTCATCCCACAGCACTACTAATTCAATACTTGATGCATACTTACTAGCTGCAAAAATAAGACTGCATCCTATACCTACTTCTTCCATGGTTTACAATCTTTACTTTACAATATTTATCCAACCATGATTAGATTTCCCCTAAGAGAAATAAAATTCATTCCACAGTTCTTTAGAAGCAATGAAGCAATGGAAGAGTATCATCCAACGATTTGCCTGTCATGCTTTACTTAAAAACGTAATAGGGTTATTTTTAAAATTAACCATTTCCTTTACTATATATGCAAATACGGATATTCCAAAATAGGGGGAGTTGTTTGTTTGGGATTTATTTCTTTAAACAAATACCTTTAGGAAGTACTGTCCCTTCAGCAGCTTCTGTCTAAAAGTGAAATATAAACAGACAAAATTACAGTTCTGGAGGAGGTAGAGGGAAACCTATACAGTTACAAGACAGAAAATAGCTATTTGATCTCAGTTTTTTATTGACTAAAGCTATTAAATCTACTCTGAACAATTGCAAAGGGATCGGTGTTTTGTTATGTCTTTCATATTGTTTTAAATTTTCATTTTAACCCATCTTTGCTATAATCACATGTACATGATTCTTAGTCTATCAAAGAATTCTAAAATAACATCTGTTTTACTTTTTAGTCACTGCATACAAGTTTAACAATGCTCTACCAACAAGAAAAGAAAAATGATCTACTACAGTTCAATAAGGAAATTATTCATTGTAGACCTTAGGTTCCTAGGCTATTAAAAAACCCAGGACTTGTTCAGTACTAAATATACAACATATACAAGGTACCCTACCTGTGACCCATAACCCAGCTAAGGAGAAATGTGAGATCTATAAACCCTGAATGACAGAACCAAAATATACTTTGATGTCTTTCACTTTCTGCCAATGAAAGAAGCAGCAGGAGGACTAAATGACATGCATATAATTAGAACAGTAACTTCATATGAAAATTATGTTAAGACTGTTTTCTATTTTAACAAGATTATATTTGATTAATAAGCAAGACACTTACTGTTGAATCCCTATATCCATCTCTTAAGTGAACATTATTTATAAATTCTAGCCCCTTTTCCTTTCTCACAAATCTGCACCTATAAATGAAAATATTTAGTTACAATAAAACCGCATAAGCAGCAAACAAAAATTGACTACATAACTTTGAAAAGCTTCAATACATTTCCTACCTCATATAAAATGCTTGCTTTTTAAAATCTCTAAATATTTAGTCAACATCAGTAATGTCATTTAAACATTTCTAAAAACATCTTAATCACTTCAGCAGTACTTACCTTTTTCACGTTTTTGGTGAAACAGAAACCTAAGACTTGTTGGCCATGACAGCTGATGCCACAGGTTTATAAAAGTAAAGACTCCAATGAAAAACAAACATTATGTTAAAATGTTGGTTCTTCCAGCTGTTTGCAATCAAAGAAAAGCAGTCACTGGTCAGACAAGTGCTTTACATGCTTACTTTCACTATTTTCCAACCAGTCCCAGCTACTGGGCAGAGCTCTTCCCTACCAGAAGATTTAGGAATGCAGTAACTCCTCGACAATAACTCCTCCTCCTTCTCTAGCTTCAGCAGTTACTTCACCTTCATGGTGTCCTGTTCATGGGCACAGACAGCATGCTGTGAGACTGATACACTGCCACTGAAGTTGATGTGCAAACAAAAACTCCATATAAGACAGTTAGTGATCTGAGAGGAAGTAATCAAATCTGACATAATTTAAGCAACCTAAAACAAAATCAAACCCATAAAAGGAGGAGTGAAATGTAGCAAGAAAATGTGTCTTAACCATTCACTGCACCAAGCCAAAAACTTGGAATGGCATCTCTTTCAAGTGGCAGAGACTAATAATTAAAAGCTGCCTGTACCACTATTGAAAAAAGGATCAGCTAATACATAAATACTAACTTCCAGCTTCCAGAGACCCTTTTACCACAGAAGACAAATTTGGCAGCTAACACATAAAAGACATTGATTTTATCAATGTTATACAACTAAGTCTTTGTACTTGGACAGCTTTTATGCACCTGTAAGAAACGGTGAGTCATATACTATTCCTCCTTTCCTCAAGACAGATTTTAGACAAAATTGGCAATCTTTCCAAAAACTACTTCTGGGTCTGGAATCCCCAATCCTTTAAAATTACACAAAAGTCTGTTTTGAATTCAATATCACTACTGACTTCTTCGGGTTTGTTTGCACCATGACAGAAGTATAGTCATTTTGTATCCTGATGTAAGTTACAAACTTTGGCACGTATGAAGCTATTAAAATAACAATTAGAACACAGTGCTTGGATAACGAGTCAAAAAAATAATCAGATAAGTATTCACAAAACTTAACGATTCTGCTAGCTGAGACATCAGCTAAGTCCAGACACAGAAAACTTCTCTTCCCTTTAATAATTCCTACAAACAAGCTGACATACAAACGCCACTGACTTCAAAGTGAAGTTATTCAGAAGGTAAAACTTCAGGGCAACCTTTCAGACTGATCACCTCTAACGATTTAGTTGTGCCCTCAGCCTCTTGAGATTTAGTTCTCTTTCCCACCCACTGCAGAAGAACTCACTCCTACCTCTCAAAGACGACATTAGGTTAATGTCCTCTTTTGAGGCCTCCAATATAACATTAAAGCATATGTTGATGATTATACATATAATAGCAGGACTACAGAAGGCAGAACAGATGGAACAACAAAAATAAAGACCCCATGCAAAAAATTCCTTAAAATCTTTTCTACTTATTGAAAAGGAAAAACATACACCATGGAAGATTAACTGATATTCCTTTGGTGCCTACCTGATAAAAATAAAGGAGAAGGAAGTAGAGGAGGGCAACTAAAAAAAATTCAGTTTTTAATTTTTAATCTAAATTAATATTAATCTAAATTAATATTAACCTAAATGATGTTAAGCCACAGTCAACCTTCTGAAACCTTTTTTAGTATGCTCTGTCATTAAAAGATAATATACTGTAAATAAGACTCAGACATGCAACAAGAAAACAGTAAGAAATACCTTACCCAGGAAACCATTTGGCATGTTGATCCCATGGGTCTTCATTTTCCTTCCATTCTTGCAATCCTCCACCACAGTGGAAACAAACCACATGATCACCATTACCTGAGGAAACATACAAGAATAAAATTACATACTTCTAGTAGGCATAACAGTAAGTTTTCAACTAAAATGTTACATTATTAAGAAAAAATATTTATTTTATTGATTTGCAATTGTAACTAAAAAGAACTCCATTTTCAAGGACAACATAATATATATGATTTGAAACAAATCTTCAGGAGAGACTTGAGCTTACAAAATACAAAAAAGTCACATGAAATATTCCTGAATTTTATTTTAGCAAGTAATTATGCAGGTAAAAAGCAAAAGCTAAAAATAATCTATTATCAAATAGCTCAATCCACTGGTAAACAAGCTGTGAAGTAGTCTACCACAAAGAATTAAGGATGTTTACCTGCCTTTTTGGTCCTCCATTTCACCATTAAGATTAATGGGCTCTATAGTGCAGTAGCATAAATGACTGAGGAGATGTTATGAGAAACTGCATTCTCTCTGTTCTAGCACTATGCCTACTGGAATCAAAGACTGCACCAGAAACTGCTTAGATATTGTGTTTATCGAAATGAGAGGAGGTATTTTTCCTACAGAGCTAAATCATTCTCAGGCCACTGGAAACAGTTTTCACAAGAAGTAACTTGAACAGCCATCAGGTCTGATAAGCTGGTGCCAATTTAGTGCACCTCCACCATACAGATCTCATTTGTCTGTGAGAAGCTAGGTTTTAGGAACCCAAGAAGAAATGAATAAATTGGGTACAAATGTTGCCCATGTATCACCCATACAAGAACATATCAAAGGTTTTATTTATGGCCACAAGTAAAACAAATGTAATCAGATTAAAAAGTTCTTCCAAGAGCTACTAAAATAGCAGCCAATTAAGATGAGAGCAAGAAATTATCCCAGATAATCCCCTTTTCTTTGTGACCTAATAAGAACAACACTTTCCACTCACACAGCATCTCTCAGTGAAGAATTTCAAAGAGCGTGAACGGGACTAGGCAATTCAATCTAATTGGGAAACCAATGCACAAAGACACTGGAGTTTTATCCAAGTCATACACTACATGTCTAACAGGAAAAGCTGTTCCACTGGAGTCATTGTCTTCATAAAGCTCTTACAGTAGGTAGTAATGGCATTTGCCATTTGCTACTTCCGTGTGTCTGAACGCTATGATGATGCAAACACGTGTTAACTAAAAAAAATGGCACAGAACCTGGATTGTCTTGTTCATAGGCTTTTGTACGGGACACAGGCCCACTCCTTAGACCTAAGGTAGATAGCGGAAGGACAGCACTTCATTTTTTAAAAAATATTAACTTCAATAATTGTCATTGTGCAAGACGAATTATGAGGGTTTTAGCAGGCAAGGAAAACACACTTTAATGTTTTACTACTAAAAATGAATTTATGACCAAGTTTATACTTCGTTATTAAAAATACTGGGTATAATGTATATCATTTTACACAAGAACTATGAAAAGTAGTTTACAGAGTAAAGAAATTCTGGCAAATCATTCCATATTAGAATAAAAAATGCTTATTTTTTCATAACAAGACACATAAAATTTCCTTGTAAAAGATATCAGTCATTTTAAGATCTGGCTTACCTATGCTATAGAAACCAGCTTCAGCAAGTTGCTCCTTGTCAACAGGATATATCCAAGTTAAAAATGTTTGTAAACGTCTTCCATATTTTGCCATAGATGGATTCCTTGGATGCTGTGCACTGTTCAAACCACTGCTCCCAAGCTCAGCAGGAATAGATTCACTTGGAACATTTCCAACATCTCGGCCCAGGACAAAAAAGCATTTGGGAAAATGCCTCTTGTGTTCTGACCAAGCTCTGTCACTGGGTTCCCACTTTTTCAATTTTCCACCACAACAAAAACATGCCACTTGATCATCAACACCTGTATAATAGAATCCAGCATTAGCTAATTCCTTTGGTGTCAACTGGCTATTGAGGGGCCAGCTGTGAAAAGACTTTAATCTTGTCTCTTCACTGCACATAGCAGGGTTTTTAGGATACAAAGTATCTGACATATCCACAACCTGCCTAGTTCTCAGGAGGTAATCTGCCTGCACATCAGATGCATCATCCAGAGTACATGGGAGGGCTGAATTGCTGGAACCATTTTCAGTTCTATGCTGGTAGTTCTGAGCGCGAGGATGTATGTTATTTTCCAGACAAGTAGATTCAGTAATAAATTTGCAATTTGGGGAAAGCTTTTTGTGTGTCTCAACTGCAGAATCCCCAGGCGCCCATCCTTCAATAGTTGTATTGCAACTGAAGCACTTCACTTTGTCACCTTCTCCAGTATAAATAAAGCCAGCTTGTGCTAGTGCTGATGTCGAAACCGGACAGTTAAGTGGAAATTCAACAAAAGTTCCTAGTCGGTAGTGTTCCTGTGCCCATTCCTGGTCATGGTCAGTGTCTGGAGTGGCACAAGCTTCAGAGATGTTATCTGGGACATTACACGTCATCTCTTCATAAGTAGGGCTCTCCTTTCAGATTTCCTAAACAAAGAATAAATGTTTTAATTTCACAGACAGAAGAATAGATCGTACCCATATGCAAGCCTGGAAACTGGCTAGATTAAACTAGCCATCTTTTATGTATTAAAATAATACCTCTTCCCTCCCATCTCACCCTTGCCTGCCTCCCCTGCCACGCAGAGGCAAACACCAGAACATTAAAAACAAAATAAAAACACAATCCGTAAAGAAAGGCAGGAAGATCATGAAGTTTTATAGGCCAATAAAAACTTACCTGGAAAACACACAGGTCTATACTTTTACAGCTTTAAAAGCAGGTTCTACTTATTAACAAATAAACATTGCAAGAATGAAATCAACAAAATGTTTAACAAAAGCTCTGGGCAAAACCCTGCCAAAAGGCTTCCGAACCTGAAATACGAAGATATTGAATTTAAAATACTGATCTAAGCCAGACCACATCTGCAAGATTTTACAGCCCAGTTCTGAAACACAACTATGTTTATTTTTCCCCATACGAAGGCCATGACCACCATGCCCATTATAGATGGGCATCAACTAGTAAAACCATCATCAAAAAGAAACAAGCCTTTGGACTTGTGTTATATTGTAAAGACATACATCTCAGTTTTCCTTTTAGCCAAGTATCTTGTGAAATAAACTATCAGATGTTTCACTGGGGCATTTCACCAAAGTGCTGTGCTCTGCTTTCAAGGTCAGCATCTTGGACTACCCAGCACTAGCATTCACACCCAGCAAACTGCTTCCACTTTCCCACACCCTGCCTATGCTCTCTATCAGGAGTTCCTGTGCCTCTGCCATCACCTCAGCTTTTCCTCCCTGAAGGAATGTCATTCTCCTTACCACCTGTCCCACATTCCTATTCCTGCCTACACTCTTCCAGGGTAAGTACCGACTGCTAGTCCTGCCATGCGCCCTCCTGCGCCAGCAGGCTGCTAAAAGCACTCAGACAAGGCCCTTCTTTCACAGGGATGAAAAAAAAGCAACTTGGCTCCCGCAGGTCCTATGCAAGAACCACAAACTGACGCAGTCGTCACCTTCATCCCAATATGGATGAAGTCAGAGCACAGTAAAAATTCATCTCTTGTCCTGACAAGTGCGGTGATATTATTGACTTACAAAGTCTTCGGTAAACACAGGCTACTGCTGATACACATCTCAAACTTACTCCTTTATTAAGTGGTAAATAAAATTATTATGAGACTGCCCAAATGGACTTCCTAGGACAAAGCAATAATAATTCAGCAATTAGCAAAAAGAAATGCATATAAGGAAGAACAGAATATGTATTTATTTGAACAAGTGTCCTTCTCCATCCTGAAATGTATCTATTTCCAGTCCTCACCTTTGTAAGGTAGGCCATCAGGTAAAAATTCAGTTTCCTCAACATGCTCCTTCCTCAACACCTGCATTAATACTGATTATACTTTCTGTCAGGTCAATGTAGATGTTACAATTATAATAATTGCTTATATAATACCAGATTTAGCTTCTACAGGAAGGACAAAACCCTTTTTAAAGTTCAGAAGGGGGAGGGGAAAATTAAAATGACTATGCATTGCAGGATCGCTGCTTCCTTTGCCTAGATGACAAAGATAATTCACCTATAAGCAGGTTGAGAAAATATGACGTTAGAGACCCCGCATGCTTGCTTCATGTAATCATGGATACAAGACTACTTCTGAACACCAGCTTTAATTCCTTCTCTAAGTCAGTTTGTGACTAATGTAATGACACTAGAAATTATACTGTGGTTTTCAGTTTTAGCTTAGCAAATTCAAAAATAGCTTCTGAATAAATTACATTGGCTGACCTACAAATATGACCTATATGCTTGTTTTGACTTTGAAGGGCAAAAAAAAAAATCAGTAATTACATGTAGTAATATAAAAGCTGTCACAATACATGTATTTTTTACTATACATGTGTATATTGAAAACAATCAATTTTTATAGCAAAAGTTTAAAAGTTCATGTTTATTTCTTTTTAAAATCTTATTTTAAATCCTCTAGGACTGTTTCTGTAGAGATCTCAAGTGACCTTATGGGTCTATCACCATTACTACTACACTGCATTCATAAAATAATCTGTATTACTCAAATACCATTAGCTGCATACTAATTTTCTTATCTGCATGCCTAAAAGACTTTCTACAAGGTGGCAAACAAAGCCTACCTCACATCCTCTAGAGACTCCTTTTCAAAATGTCTGTTGAAAAAATAGAACAAATGCATATGCTTTCAATGTATGATTAGCAGTATATCTTAATTTCTATTTTACTTATATACAAATGAGTTCAGAAACAGCAAAAAACCAACTCATCCTATTTAAATTTTTACATACTAACTTTTTTTGTTTATATTTACTTTAAAATCAGACTAGAGCTGCTACATCCGTCTTTGATCTGTTGCATACAAAGTTACTGTGGCAAATCAGAGGCAATCTACTCAGCCATTCTCTGTAACTTGACCTCCCTGTCCTTAGTGAAATCTGGGGTAGAGACAGACCAAGGTTCAAGCCTGACATTATCTCAAGAATTTACTGGTGACACAAAGATCACCCTTGGTTTGTGCTTTTTTGTTCCTTATGCCATATGGGGTGACCACATATTACAATGATCACTATGATATATGAAGTTAAAAAACAGTTAAGAGACAGAATTAATTATGCCCCCACTTTCTCGTAAACTACCTACATGTTCTGTTTTAAGCACCACTTAACTGCTCTGTTATCAGAACTCATCGTAAAATCTGCCATTCTTAAAACAAAGTCTGATATAGCAGTCTTGTATGCATAAAGAATAAAAAATAGATTAATATATACCAGGTGCATATATATATATATATATATATAAACTTCATTATAACATGAATGCACTGCTTACAGTAAGGCATTCTTTTTCATAAGCTAAAGAAGGTATTTTACCAAAGCAATCTGAATAAATATTGTATCTTAACTAAGGCCCAGATTCTCCAGTGCCCTCTGACAGGGACCATCTTCAAATTATACTTACACTGCATGAGCAAGCCTGCATCTTGCAGTATTTTTCTGGATTCTTTCACTAAAACTCTCCCCCTCCAACATCAGAAAATTTAAGAAACATCATAACATTTTTTTAATTTTTTTTTTTAGTATATAAGCTGAAAATTCTGAAAATTTTTATTTCATGCAATTGGCAAACATCTACTTTTTAGATAATTTCATTCCAAAGACCGCACTTCTTTTAAAGCAGGCTTCATTTTCATAGTGCCTATAAACATATAATATTTAATTGTGCATATTCTCTTCTTCTTCCCAAATAACTTCTCACCTTTAAAAATACAGGCTGCAGAACTCAAAATATCATATAGGTCGTACAGCTCATATATGACAGACCTTCCTAATGGAAATAACAGCACGGTTCTAAACTATTACTTAAATCAGTTTGTACTAGTTTTACTCCACTCACTCCGTAGATCCTCTTGGTGTGTCCTGGAAAGATGTGTGCGTGTTTTAATGACACTAAGGAACTGAGAAGGAAACACCTGAGCAAAGACACAAAGAGGGAAGGAAGAGGATCAAAGACCAAACTGAAATATTAGAGATCAGGATGGAGATGATATTCAATTAACCAAGATGTTCTTTTTCAGTTTTATTGATTACTTTTAATTAACTGTGAATGCTAGGCAAAAATAAACTAACAGAACTACCTAAAATTCAGTACCCGTACCACCCTCAACTGCAATGGAAACTACAGGACAATGCCTTTCAGCCAGGTAGTCTGGCTAGATGGTAGATACAGTGGTATCTGAAGCAGAAAAAAAAATATCTCTATGTACTGTACTGGAAGTTCTAACAATTGAGAAAAAATATAATTGGAAATAAGCATTAGGATAAAACTAAAAATACCTACACATAATGCATTAATCACAACATTGAGATGAGCAGCTTTATTCTTTCAAGCATATTTTTCTACAACGCTACAAATACTTCGATACTCCTCCTGTTAACACGGTAAAAAAAATTATGTCCTCAACATGGCGATAATAAAAATATCTGCCACATTTGGATTCTCTGGAGGTAAGCAATCTATCTCGATCCTCACAATGAAAACAGCGTGAAAAGCACATACCAAAGGAGCAGCGAGTACTGACAGAAGGTCCAATCACCACAGATCAATTCTTTAATATGAAGTAACTGTTTCAAATTATATCAACCACATTACTTAATCTTGATCTTTTGGAGCAGAAAGACTCAACCATCCTTCTAGAAGCCTCTCAAAACCACGTCTAAATACTGCAGTGACAGAAGCAGGACAAATCCCTCACAGGTATGTGCTAGCTTTAACAACGCTCCATCCACATTATGAAGCCCTCTCCTTACGACAACCCCTCTAAACATAGTTGGTTTACATTTCAGTATAATTTTATCTGAGAGAAAAAGACATTAACATATTTATTAAGCATTGAGACAAACTCTTCGCCTGTGTAAGTACTGCTTTAAATACAAGATCAGTACTACTTTAAATGCAATACCAAGTTTAATTATTTCTATTTCAAGCAACTGTTAAAAGCAACTGTTCAAAGTGTAAAATTAAAACTAGCTTAGGAGTAGTATTTCTACACAGGTATTTTAACAGTTGCCTTACTCCAACTAATTGGAGTAATGCTGCTACTGAACAATACCTTGAACCATAACAGCACTCAGACAAACATTAACTGCAGAAGAAAAATAACTAAGGTAAAATTTTGAATTGTTTATGGCAAAGAAACACAAATTCATAAAAAGCACCCAACTAAGACGTGCACACAAGACTTTACAATACATACCAGCAGCAAACCCAAGTTCAGAGAGTATACTTTATGTATACGGAAGTTAATTAAGCCTTTCTGCACAGATTTAATTAATCACATATGAAGTAAAAGTAGAATGTCCAGAAATGTTAAAGTTCATCTTTACTTACAAAACTGAGATTTTTTTTAATTATTATTGAAGCATTATATATCTTCTTATATATGCAGTGAGTAAACAAAGCCTATTTTAGCCTGAAAGAATGCCAGAAGCTGAGCCAAGTTTAATCCTGCTTTTAAACATCTGAAGGTATTTGTCACAAGACACCTCCCACTTTCAAGCTGAAGTACCAATTTATATAGTCTATTGATTACGTTTCAGAAGGAAAAATAAAGACAAGAATTTATAGCAAAAATGTTAACTTACTCAAAATGCAAAATTGTACTGTGGTTTTGCAAGACAAACATGTTCAATTCAGCTTTTAAAATATTAAGAGGTATGATTTTATACAAAAATATGACATCATCACATTACCTAGATCTGAAATGCTTCAAAGAAAAAGTATAGAACCCACTTTTCTCTTTCAAGTATATTTTATTAGACATGATTATTTCCATCCTTAATCCTAAAACAGACTGGCATTATAAGGAGTTATTTTTAATTCTTCCACATGACAAGCATGGCACTAATGTCCGAGTCAGAAACCTACTTGCACAGCCTCATGTTCCTGACCAAAGGGTACATAAACATGGAGCTTCTATTGCTTGACATGCTGACTATGAGAGCAATGTTAGTGTTTATTGTTGACTGAATTTTGAAATGTGAGAGTAGTGCACCAAGTAAATATCAAACAGAACATACTGTACCAGCTGACACACAGATTATGCATATGTCACTTCACTGAATTTCACTTTGTGCCTGCTCAGCTGCAATTAGATCAAGGAAGGGGCATGCTGCTAACTGAAATCATACTTATAAAGATTAAAACCACAAGAAACACAGGATTTATTTAAACAGTGTTTACAAATCTTAGCATATTTACATGTTATTATCAATAGCCATTTTTTAAAAATATTCTGCTTAGAGATTTTTTTTCTTTATTTTATCAGGAGGGTATGTATCTACACAACGCCTTTTGATTCAGTGCCAAAGCTTACATAAATCCATCAGCTCAGCTTCATTTGTCTGTGTTTCAAACAGGTCCTACTTAGCTTCCCATCAGGGTTTATCAACATAGGAAGTGAGTCAGCTGCTCAAGGTTATAGTAGGCTATTAGATCCTCCTAATTCTTGACTCTAGTCACAAAAACTGTTACACTCTCTCCATCTTACAAATAAATATAACCAGGCCAATAGAAACATACCATTTTGAGAATGATTTTCATATTGTATTTTTCTTCACGAAGGAGTCATATGGGTATGGAATAGAGCAATAAAGAAGAATGGATTCATGGCAGTGCTCTCAGTAGATAAGAATGGGACAAATCTGCATCTGCCAAGGGCAGATGAAAAAAAAAATTGTTTTTGTGAACTCGCAAGATAAATGTCTTCAGACGAACTTTAGCTGTATGTATGGGAAGGAAGGAGTAAATACCAGCCGCTATAGAAAAAACTGGCATGCTGTAGCCTAAGTACGCAGTCCTACAGAGATGTCAGAAGTCAAACTTAAGACACAATCAATCAGAGCCATTAATGAATGTATAAATCAGCATTATCCAAAGTGACCAAGGAAGAGGAAAGACTACAGGTCTGGAGAAAATCATTTTAGCTCTACCACACCTTGCTAAGTGTTTAGTACAAAGTGAAGTGTGAAAGAGATGTTGGCATTTTTAATTTGGACACAGGAAAGTCTATCTAAAGCAAAGGTTTAGTTCTGACAGCTGCTGCCACTGAAATGAATTGCCTACAGATGACAGTACCTAAAAATAAGGCGTGGGGGTGGACACCAACCCCACCAAAACACCAAAAAAAACCCCAAACCAATACAAAAAAAATCCTACCAAACCTCAAGCATACTGAGAAAGAGATGGAAAGAAAGACTAAAGGTAAAAGTAGACATCAGGAGAACCAACACCAAGAGCACAAGACTTCAAATAACCCCCCACCAAAACAAAACAAAACTATAAAAAAGGAAGGAGCAGTCCTGACAGTCTCAAGTTTCTCTGGCTGTTCCAGTAAGATGTTTCATTCATTGCATAAGCAGAAATACAATGAAATATTTTTCATGAAAGGCACTGTACTCCTGTAAATCATACAGAAATCTGTGTATGATTTAGCTATCAATTTTTAATTACGAGGTTGCATGAATTGTACCATTTAAACTTATTGAGATACTGTAAGTATTCGTTCAGGCAAATTATAGGGAAAGAATAATTTTTACATTTCTGGCTTCTCCCCCCCCCCCAATTTGGAAAATCAGCCTATTCGTTTTTCCATCCTGTTTCCCTATCTCCTACCAGTATCTTCATTTGCTTCATTATTCTACTATTGCTCCCTCATATAAAAGGATTCTTACACAACTCACTGTGAAAATACATTTTAAATTCAGTACAACACTACCACATGGGAGGGGGAATCAATTTTTTTATTATATTTTTATATTATACACTTACATTTTAGTCATACAATTCAAGTGATATAAAAATCTATGTTTTATATAATTTTTATGTTTTTACTTTAGAACATTTACTTCATTAACTGCTGTATTATTAACAGGAATTTTATTTAGCTTCAAGTTCTTCCCCAAGAAATTGCGACTAAACTTGCAGAACTCTTCCCTCTAATAAAAAACAGCTTGGAAGTTGTATTAAATATAACTTGAAGCATACTTCCATCCATGAAAGTCTACCAATATGTTTTGGGGGCTATGCAAGCTATGCAGTTCCTACCTGCCTAAAAGTAGAAATGACAAGTTACTTTTGTCAACTACAAAGCAGATGAGCAGAAAGAAAGTTTAAATCTGTGATTATAAAGTGTATCACTATAGAAATGTAACCCCTAGAAGTTGAGCTACTACTCTTTTTGTAAGAAACAAAAAAATACCCAGTCACTGAGGGTATATTAAGTAGAATAGTAAAAAATGCCTAGCAAAAACCTGCAGTGCCGCGGGATGCATTTCCTTTCCTGAGTAGGAGCTGTGTTCCAGCTTTTAGTATTGCATCCTTTCAGAAATCCTTTAAACTTAGAAGAGAAGGCTCCAGGGAGACCTTACAGCAGCCTTCCAGTACCTAAAGGGGGCCTACAAGAAAGCCAGAGAGGGACTTCTTACAAGGGCATATAGCGATAGGACAAGGGGTAATGGCTTTAAACTGAAAGAGGGTAGATGTATGTAGATCTTTAGATGATATTTAGACTAGATGTAAGGAAGAAGTTGTTTACTGTGAGGGTGGCGAGGCACTGGAACAGGTTGGCCAGATTGGTTGTGGCTGCCCCATCCCTGGAAGTGCTCAAGGCCAGGTTGGATGGGGCTTTGAGCAACCTGGTCTGGTGGAAGGTGTCCCTGCCCATGGCAGGGGGGGGTGGAACTAGATGATCTTTAAGGTCCCTTCCAATCCAAAGCATTCTGTGATTCTATAGTTGAAGAAAAAGATGAAAAAACAGGGCATCTTTCCTCAAAGAGACATAATGATATGGAATTTTAGCTACAGCAACATCATTAATGCCACAGCAAAACTGCTGAATCTTCTGGATTCTAAAGAGAAGTTGTAAAACCACAGGAGTACAGAGAGCCTGTCACCTCCTGCCTCGCCCATTGGCAAGGGTGTTCACTTCCACCCAGCTAATACTCCCGATAATGCTAGTGCCACTTAGTTCATTATTCACATTCATTTAACTGCAGCCTAATGCAGAAGCAGCATCATGATACTTTCCGGTATCACTAGCGTGAATGTTTTGCCATTAAAGAATGACATGAATTTATACATATATTTTTACATACATACATACACATATATGTACTTATACACACCCACAACTCAGCAACTTGTAAACTTGTAAACCTGTCTTGAAATATCCCCTATATTTTAATTTCAAGTCTGTCAGGAAATTGGGATGACTTGGGGATTAATTCTAATTATAATATTGTACCAAAAGTGAAATATGAAAGTTGCACCTGTTGAAAACACTCCACTTGCCTTTCTATTTAATAAGAAACTGTACAAAACATAGAAGGGGAAGGACAACGAACTGCAAGATATGTGCAGCTTCATTTTACATTTTATATGATAGGAGTGACATTCAATTCAAGCTTTGTGGCATGTCTTCTTCAGTCTTAACATACTTTCAACCTTCACACAGAGCTACTTTTTTTTCATGTTCAGAAATCTTGCTATTTCTGGAGCCTGACTTTCGATCGTCATGTTCAGAATATTTTGGACTAGAACTCCGCAAGACAGACCACGTGCTATGAAAAATAAAAAGCAGCAAAGTACTGTATGCTGTTAACTTCTGAAACAAAAAAATGCAAACTTACAATAGTTATTCCCTAGGAAATTAGTATCCAATCAGCCAAGTTTAGTAATAATCAAAGCAGATACTGGTCTCATCTCTATTTTCCACCAACCTTTAGAACAAATTCCAAAATTTACAGTCCTGTTGGTAGAAAAAACAAAGGTTAAAAATCTTCCTTTTCACATAACCTTCAGCATAGTTTACGAAGGCACAACTCCAAAAATATGATTAAAAAAAATTTTTAAAAAATCTATCCTTTGCCCAAGAAATCTAAATTAAAATATATTCTAAGGATGAAAGTGTCTGAGGTCAGGGAAAAGTCTGAAATTCAGATGTTTTACTGAAACTAGCAAGGGGCATAAGATTGGGGAAACTCCAGATTATCCAAAGAGGGCAAAAGAAAATCCAGGCATTAAAAACTAGAGGGCAGCAAAAAGGAGAAGGACTGTAACAGCAGATGGAATAAGATCCAATGATCCAGCCTTCTCTTCTCTCTCCTAGGAAATTCTGCATCTGATTATAAATTGGATTTTCTGAAACTCTTCAGCTCCCTGCAGTTGTCTCGCCCACCCTGGGAGGACAGCAACACACACAGAAGCACTATCACAGGTAGACAGAGGCCTGAAATGAAATCCATCTTCATACTTCAGAAAACCAAGATACAAACACATGTTTTCTTACTGTTCTGATAACAAATGCAAGTCTGCCTCGTATCAGTGGGAGCAGTCAAAAAAACCTCTACAATCAGACAACCACTCTCATCAGAATTCTTTCACTTTTGCTGCTGGTTACAAAGGGCAAGGTCAGAGGAGGTACAGAATAATCATTAATTTGTTCCTTTGTGCTTCTTGGCCAATGCTGTAGGTGCCAACTTTTCTATGGAAAGAAGTAGTTGGGTGTTCTTTAAAGAGCCTCAAAGAAAACTGCAAAGCAGTCAAGCAGATAGCAAAATGAAGCACTTAAGAGGATGAAAAAATCCAAATAAAAGCTTAATCAACAAATCCATCACATGAAAACCTGCTTTCTTAGAGAATACTTCACTGTTGTCTTCCGTGTTATGTGGTGATTTATTTCACGATAAACAAACAGTAGATTAAGTTAACGTATCTCCTACTGCTCTTTGGTAAGGTATTAGATTTTTTAAAAGTATTTGACAAAAAAGTGATTCTCCCCCCCCCAGCTGGTTGCTTTTCCTTCCAAAGTGGTCTACCATAAGATCCTGCAGTTTCTAACTGTTTATTTAAGAGACAAAAATCTTTCCGCTTAGCTATACGAAGTACTAAAATGCAATGTAAGGTTGTAGCAATGAAAGGATATTGCAAGTAGCTCTGCAAAAATATCTAAAAGCAGTTTCAAGAACAGATTTATACTTTTTAGCAGAGGCAGATTAGTAACAGTTAAAAAGGACAGAAACTACTAAAAGTAGTTCTTACAACCATTTATAGGGCTTCTACCTGGAAGACAGGAGTATCAGAGAGACAGTAGTACAGAAACAGAAATACACTAACTGCTACAGAGAAATATACCAGCATAAATACATAGCCATTGTGCAAAAGAGAACCGCCTGAACCGAAGTTTGAATTACAGCTGGGAAAAAAGTGCACCCAGTGAACTTCTTCCTGCAGAATCAATAGCTACTGAATTCTTACCATAGAAAACCTGAACAAAACTGCATTTTTACTAACAAGAGGCAGAAAGGGCATTCTAGAAAAAAAAGAAAAAAAGAAAAAAAAGATTTTTAATTAAATTTAATTTTAAATTAAAATTTAAAAAGAAAATTTAAAAAAAAAGAAAAAAGAAAGAGCGGGCAAGGGGACACAATATTCAAATATGTCAAAAGAACCAAAGAGGACCACAAAAGTGCATATTAGCATAGCAAATTTTTCTTTTACTTATGTAAAGAGAACACAACATTAAACGTTCTCTTCGGAGGAAAGTCGCTCGCGGACCTTCGAGCTGGCAGCCGGGGCGCGGATCGCAGACCGGCCCGGAGGGGGGCTGCCGGCCCA